TGATAAAGGCTGTGATAGCATCTAGGCTTGTCTAGAAAAGCCAGCGTCATGACAAACAGGTCACAGGCTGCAGGACTTCACATCTGAAATGGCAGGTTCTTCTTACTTTATTATCAATCCATTCTTATTTTCAAAGCTCCAGACAGTTGATGGAGGTTTGGTGGGAAAGAACATGGAGCTGGGTTCCTCAAGGGGTGCTGCCGTCCTGTAAATGAGCAACCCTTTCCAGCTCAGAAATGGCTGAAAGAAATGGGTGATTTTGGGAGCTGAAGCCGAGTAACGGGTCAGCAGAAGACGCGGTAAACACAAGCGGCTATTATTCTTCCCACCAGAATACCAGTTCTCCACGGGGACAGTGAAAACTCTCCTAATTCCCTGTAGGAGGGTGTTGTGTCTGGACAGGATGGCTCCCATAGGCTTATAAATCTGAATGCTTGATTGCCAGTTAGTGGATCTGTTTAGCAAGGATCAGGAAGTGTGGTTTTGTTAGAGGGTTGTGTAACTGGGAGTGAGCTTTGAGGTCTCAAAAGCCCACGCCAGGCCCAACCTCCTTCTTGTTCTCTTTTCGCATCCTGCTTGCCAATCAGGATGCAAGCTCTCGGTTTCTGCTCTGGTGCCATACCTGCCACCAGCTTCCAACCTCGCTAATCACGGATGAACACTGGAACTGTAAGCTAGCCCCCAGCTAAAGGCTTTCTTGTGTGACTTGCCCTGATCATGGGGTCTCTTCACAGCACTAGAACAGTGAGTAAGACAGAGGCTGGCCAAGGGGCTGAGGACAAGAAGACTTGGACTTTGGACTAGACATGAGACTGAATGCTCTAACTGGGGCTTATGGGCGGTCAGAGGAGGAACCTGGAAAACAACGGTGCTGAGAGCTAAAATGGAGGCCCAGCTCAAGAGGTTTCAGAGATAACTATGTTAGTGGCTAGGGTACAGATAGTTCCTGTAATATTGTGACAAGGAATGTGGTTGCTTTCTGCCCTTGTCCTAAAAATCTGCTGGAGGCAAAGTGAAAGAGCTTTGGACTAACATAATTAACAGTGGAGATTTCAAGACAGTCTAGTATTGGCTGTGTTATGTGGTTATTAATGATTACTCATATGTAGATCTATAATGAAAAAGAACAAGCAAGGCAAAAAGCAATGCAAAACATACAGTCTGAAGAGAAAAAGAACCAGGAAATGCAATGCTGGATCCAATTCGCCCAATGCTTAGTGGAATAAACAGAGAGTGCCCTCAAGGCAAGAGCTCACCAGCTAATCCCAAAGCTTGGGAAAGAAAAGGCCTAAGGAGTTATTTCTTCCTAAAGAGCTATAACCAAGAAAAACATGCACAAATATAATTTTAAAAGAGGGCAGTTTCCAGCTCCACAAAGCAGCGAGACTTGGCAGTTTCAGCCAAGTGGTTCTGGATTGAAGAGTGCAGAGATAAAGGTGTTGTGGAATATTCCGCCATGGTTACATAGACCATGTGGCAGGGCAGCCCCTGCATAAGGACCAAAGGCTGTGAAGGCAAACTATGGATTCACTGGAAGCCCCAAGATGCTGGAGAGCCATGGGTTATATGCCAAGGAGGGCTGCATACAGGGTGTTGAGCCAGCCCAAGGAAAGGAGGCATTGCTGTCAACAAAGCTGGAAGCGTGGGAGAATCAAAGAGCTATCAAGCTCTTTGACATCAGACATGGAGCTCCAGGATTTGAGGTTTGCCCCGCCAGGTTTCAGTCTTGCTTTGTCCAGTATACCCTCGCTATGACTTCTTGTTCTCTCTTTTGGAATGATAATGCCACTGTATGTTGTAAGTCTGTGACTTGCTTTTGCTTTAACAAAGGGTTATAATTAAGAGATCATCTTGACTCTCAGAAGAGATGGACTTCTTTTTTATTCTGAGACAGGTTTCTTTCTGTAGTTCTGGCCATTCTGGAACACACTCTGCAGACTAGGTTAGCTTCAAATTTACAGAGGTCCACCTGACTCTGCCTCCCAAATGCTGGGATTAAAGGCATGTGCCACCACCACCCAGACTTCGGACCTTAAAACAGTTTGAAACTGTGACAGACTACAGGAACTTTGAAGTTGGACTTAAATGCACTTTGCATTATGATATGGATACAAGTCTATGGGAACCAGAGAGTGGAATGCAGTGGTTTGAGTAATAATGGCCCCCAGAAGCTCATAGATTTGAAAGTTTGGTTCTCATTTGGTGGATTGTTTAGGAAGAATTAGGAGACACCACCTTGTCAGAGAAGATGTGGCTTTGTTCAGGGAGATTTGTTACTAGGGGTTTGAGGTTTCAAAGGCCCGGTCTCTTGCTCTCTCCGCCTCCTGCCCGTAGATCAGCTCTCACGCTGCTCCACTGTCCTGTCTGCCTGGCTACCATGTTTCCCACCATAGTCATGGAGACTCTGAAACTACAGCAAGCCCCCAGTCAAATGCTTCCTTTAGAAACTGCCTTGATGATGGAGTTTCTTCACAGCAAGATTGTTACCAATTGCATTGTAACCACGGTAACCATCATGAGCCCAGAATTAAGCATCACTTATGAATCAAGACCTGGTAAGACAAAAATCTTCCCTGGTTTCTGCTACTAATTCTCACTGTCCATTAAGAGCAGAAGCATCACTAGAGTAGACATGACAACCACGAGTATTTTCTCAAGTTATCTCTACCTGTGGAGCTTTCTGAATTTATGTTTTGTCAAAAGCTGGTAGCATATGCTGGAGATACAGCTTAGCAGGCAAAGTCAGAGGTTGCTGGCTGTCAGAGCTTGATCCCTGACTCACAATGGGGAAGGAAAGAACAGATTGCCAAAAGCTGATTTCTACATAAGAGTCATGATATATGTGCACACACGTGCACACACACACACTAGGTAAAATGTGGTTAAAACAAGACCGTATGGTACTCTTTCTCCTCCAGAAGTCTTCAGTTAGACACCACTTGATTTGGCTATAAGTTTAAGTGAACAGAATAACAACCTGGTATAAACCTAAAATCCCAGAAACCAGGCTACCTTCTTTAAGTCCTCAGAGCACATGCCTTGTAGGAGGGTGGGGCAGGGGGTTCTCTTTCCCCAAGCATCATACACCCTCACACACATTATAGAGAATGAATTATGATGGTTTGAAAAAGCTAAGAATATATTATTTTGACCATAAGGACTGTTTGTACAGAAGTAATTATGGAGAGAATGGGGTGGCCTTAAAAATCAATCTGGCTGCTGCTTCTCAGACGAGAACTAATTTGGCCTGCTAGTGGTGATGAGCTGACTGGTTCTGCTGATGTTCTGCATGGCTAAACATCAGACATGAAAAAAGCGCTGTCGACTTTTTGCAAATTAACACTGTCTGTTAATGACATGTGATATTCTTTTCCTCTATGCCTAGGGAGTATTTGATGGACACACCAGACTACTGTTTTTACTCTAAGTGGAGGACAAAGTCTGACTTTGGGTTGTGTGCTTCTTTCTCCCTCCATGTCCCACACCATGCACACAGTTTCTTCAAAGTTCTAGAATCTCGAAGAGGAAAATCAGATCAGTTCTCTCGATACCCAGAACGTCTCCTCTCCTTCAGTCTGACAGCTGAGAATGGAACAGTATGTCTGTGTGTTCACAGCTGCCATGAGACAGAAGTGCAAACTGCTCTACCTACCAGTCAAGTTGGGAACTATACTACCTTGTGGCAAAGACAGGCTTTGTGCTTTAGGGCTCAATCTGGCCAGGCCCTGGCTGTAAAACGCAGCTGTTGGCACCACTTGAAGTCCCAACCAAGAGCAGGGAAAGAAAGGCACCTCTGGGGAGGGGGATCCCACATGTTTCCTCCCTTCTTCTCTCCCTCCTTCCCCTCTTTTCCTCCCTTCCTTCTTTCCTCCTTTCTTTCTTCTTCCCTTCCTCCCTCCTTCCCTCCCTCTCTCTTTCCTCCCTTTCTCCCTCCTTCCCTCCCCTTTCTCTCCCTCCCTCCCTCTCTCGCTCCTATACTTCCCGAGCTGGGGTATTTTGAGAAGCCTTTGAAGTGGTACATACCCATATATTCACCCCCCTACCCCCAGAGAATGTTTACAGTTTCCAAAAGATTCTCAGTGAGCTCCCTGCCTCTTACCAGGCTAATAATACCCAGAGGACACCCTCACTGTCAGGTACGAAATTCTCTATGATACATAATTTTTAACAGATGGTGTTCTACCCTCAGGCAAAAAAAGTCATAATATTATCGTTGGTAGGCGATTTGTGTTCCAGTAATGTTGCAGAAACAAATCTCTGCAGTGATACTTGATTGTAAATTGTTGTCTGGGTTTAATAAACATTAAATGTGGTAGCTATAAAAGGGACTTTTCTTAGAAAGCAACAAAAGGCACTTACTGCGTCCTTAACTTCCTACTTAAATAAATCATAAAGGATCAACTAAACAGTTTTGTTTGTCCTCAGATTTAGAAGCTGAAGCTTCTTTTACCCACCCCTCCCCAAATATGAGGGAACACTACGATCCAGTCACTCCTAAAATGACTATTGACTTTGTCTTTCAGGGTTTGGTCCTGAGGTTGGAGCACTAACTGCAAATCCAACCATGAAGGCAGAGGGCTCAGGCATGCGTAAGGCGGTAGCAGCCTGCCTGGAGGACGATGTCATGACAACAGTTAGTGCAGCCCACAACACAAAGTCCCTATAAAGATGCTCAGCAGAGGGCTGGACATTGGTTTGGCTGGTAGAATGCTTGGCCAACACATGTGAAGCCCCAGTAAATGTGGTGCGATTTCCTACACTTTTAAGTCCGGTATTGGAAAGATGGAATCAGAAGAAGGAGGAGCTCAAAGTTGTCCTAGCCATGTAGAGTGAGTTTGAGGCTATCCTGGGCTACAAGAGACCCTGTGTCAATAAGCAGAGAAAGGAGTTGGGCTGTGTGTCTCTCGTGCTGGTTTTCTTTTCTCTAGAAGGTTGTGAAACATGCCTTCACCCAAGACAGGCCTTCGGCCTGAAAGTGGGAACCCAGGAAAGCTACTTACCAGATACAGGTGGCTGGTCACTGGGGGAACCCCCAGAACCCAAGGCTCCCCTCTCCGAGCTTGGAAGCTTTGCATCTGCCCTGTCCTGGGGCTGTCCTCCTGCCTCTGCCATACTGGCTGCTGCTTCGCTGCCGCCCATGCTGTAGGCACACTGGGGCAAGGGTCCACATTTCAGAGAACTCAGAAGCGGCTCATGGTCCTCCCCAGGAGTATTTCCAGAGCCCTTGTAGCCGTCTGTTGAGTTGGAGCTGGCCACCCAGGGCAGGCAACTGTCATCCTCTATTTCTCTTTTCAAGTACTTTTCAGGGGACAAAGGGATACAGTCAGTTCTGCATGGGGGCACAAGGAAGCTGCAGCCTTCAGACTCAGCCGTGCTCTCGGTCCCTGTGAAACACTGGCTTAAACTGTCATTCTCTCCCACTTCCAGAGGCTCCTGGAAAGGGGGTGTGGATTTGCTCCCAGGCTGGATCAGGAACATCGGACTATCAGAGGGCTGTGAGAGCCGGTCTGCGTACTCATCCTCTGTGGGAATCTTCCTTGAGAGGTCGCCCTGGATCTCGACTTCGCTGACCAATGTGAGCATCCTGGCATCTTCACCCTCTGCACAGGGCCCACCTGCTGTACACACAGGCTCACAGACCCCAGAACCACCTTCCAGATAGCACATGTCTTCTGGAAACATCTTCTCCCCTAGGGTCATTAGTAACACTCTTTCACATGCTTCTTGCTGACCAGAGGTTGCTGAGTGTGCACCAACACAACAGTCACCCGAGGACTCCTGAGGATGTGAATTCAGAATATCCAGTTACTGAATTTGCCTAACCCCTGCAGAAGAGCATTGCTATGAACTGCTTCCACCTGACAAACACAGGTGGCCCAAACTTTACGGATTTGTTTGTGTTGCTTAAAATTACAGAGTATGGAAGAACTCTGGAAAGGGACGCAAACAGAAATGACTGGCTCCTTACTGCAATGAATAGCATCTGCACACTACAGGGGAAGAGGAAATGCAAGTAACACCTGGGCACATCTGTCTCTAACAAAACGATGACAGCTGCGCAACTGCTGAATTGCAGGCTGCAGCTCTGTCTGCAGCATGCTTTAGTTCTGTGAGTCCTGTCACTCAGCAAATGAGAAGCCTATAGAGAACGAAAGGATTTGTATGTAATGCTGGGAAGGGAGAGAGGAGAGTGGATGCTGTGGCACTGGGGCTGAATTATAGAAAGCAGACTAATGTCTGCAGCTGATAGATCTTATACCCAACAGATGTAAAAGGCAAACTAGAATAATTAGCATTTTAATATCAAATTTGGATTGGAAGATAGCTAAGTCACTCTTAACTTTTTGTTGTTTAGTTTGGGATTTTTGAGACAGAGTCTTATATAATTGAAACTGGTCTTCTTAGGGAGTACGGGATGACTCTGTGTTTCTGATCCTCCTGCCTCTGCTTCCCAGGTACTTGAATTATAGACAAATGTATTCTCTGCTGGTTTTCAATCAGGGTTTTGTGCCTTTTTGGCAAGCACTCTTTCAATTGAGATACAAGACCAGGGCCACAACTGAATAAATGTGCTTATCTAGTTATTAATTTACTTACCTACTTACCTGTTTTAAGGGAGAGAGTGAGTGGAACATAAGCATCCATTGTTTTCTTTATAAAAAAATTTATTTTTATTTTAGTGTGTGTGTGTGTGTGTGTGTGTGTGTGTGTGTGTGTGTGGTGTTCACGCGTGCGCATCTGGGTCCAGCTGTCCTAGCCGGCCAGAAGAGGGCATAGAATAGCCTTGCACTGCAGTTGCAGGCTGTGAGCACCTGTGGCTGTGCACTGTGAGTGCTGAGAACTGAATGCAGCCCTCTGGGGAGAAGTGCGTCTCCAAACCACTGAGCCATCCTGAGAACTGAACGCAGCCTTCTGGGTAGAAGTGTGTCTCCAAACCACTGAGCCATCGCTCCAGTCCCAGCTTTGTTTCTGTTTATTTTTCCATTTTGACAGAGACTATTTATTCTTAAGGAAGGTGCATTTACACACTTAAGAACAGAGGAATTCCCAATCTCCATTCACTCTGAAGTGATTCCATACTCACTTGGTTCACAGACAGAAAGAGCAAAGACTAAATCTGTGTGACAAAGTGTGAGCTACTGATGAATTTGAGCATCAGGCATCAGGCCTTTCATTGCAATCGTCTTAATATTTTTCAATAATTTTTGAAATTATGACAAAGGAGAATATTTATTAAATAGCTACAGAGCAAAGGAAAGTCGTAGATGGTTCCTCCTCGGAATCTGCACTAAGTGATCATGTCCAGTTCTAAAACTACATACACAGAGACAACAGAATTGGAATGAAGACTATTGTCTGGCTCAGGGGTCCTATGCTTGCCTGGTATGAGTAAAGACCATTCGGTGTCCAGTCTGGGAAGAGGGAAGGTGTGGATACGGGCGGGATGAAGACAATGGGCATTGACTTACTGAACAGGGATCAGCTCTGGGACAGTTTTCACTGCCTGGTAGGCAGTGTGCTCACAGTCAGTCAGTTACCGCTCTAGAGACTATGGCAGGGCTTAGAGGAGGCAGTAAACACTTTTACCTGGTTTCCACTTAGGCTGCTGCAAGCATCATTGACCCAGTTCCACAAATTAGCTGGAAAAAAAGCAAAGATATAACTACATGTTATAATTTTCTACTTATTTTTAATATAAATTTTATCTTATATATTTAGCTTATACAGTATGTTATAAGATAAATATAGACGGCACAGTAGTTACTATAATAAAATGGATTAACTTATCCAACATGTTAAATGGTAACCTGTATGTGGCAAGAAGTGCCAAAATCAACTCGATTAGCAAAACGTCTCACACTGTACTACATTCTTCTCTGGGTGTATTTCTCCTATACATCTACTGCGGTAGCCTTTGACCTGCACCTCCCCATTTCCTTCCACCTGCCCCTGCCTGTCACTATTTCATTCTCTTCCTTTGTGTATTGATTGACTTTCTCCCATTTTAGATGAGTCTACATAAACATACCACTGTAAGTGTCACAGAAGGTATTAGCATTCCTGAGTGACAGTGTTTGATTATAATTCAGCCAGGGCTGGGGCTGAAACTCCGTGGCAGAAAGCGCGCCTGGCATGCACAAAGCTCCGGGGTCCATCCTCAGCGTGGGGGTGCAACAAGACTAGTATGTGCCTCACTCAGTGGGACAGTACTTGCTTAACAGAAGAAAAGACCTGGGTTCAGTCTCCAGCACAGGAGTGGGAGTCAACCAACCATTTAAATAAATTAACTAACTGGTTTAAACACTCTGAAGGCACCTTACTTTTTAACAACAAAACTTGCTGATCTCTAAAGGGAAAATCATTGTCAAAGTTAGTTTCCGTCAACTTGACACAAACCTAAATACCTAGGAAGAGAGACCCACACCGGGGGAACTGCTTCCATCAGACTGACTTGTGAACTGTCAAAGGGACACCGATTGTTGATTGATGTGGGAGGGAGAGCCCAGCCTATTGTGAGCAAGCCAGCCCTGGGCAGGAGGGCCTGGACTGTCTAAGACAGGTAGCTGAGGAGCTAGAGAGATGTCTCTGTAGTTAAGAACGCTGACTGCTCTTCCAGAGGACCTGGATTCAATTCCCAGCACCCACATGTAGGCTCACAAACATCTGTAAGTCTAGCACCACAGGATTTGATTCCATGTTCTGGCTTCTGAGGTTAGCAGGCATGCATGTGGTACAAGACTTACATGAAGACCAGACATCCATACACATACAACACATTTTGAAAAGAAAGGTGGCTGATGAAGACATGGAAACACGTCAGTAGGCAATCTCCATGGCCTCTGCTTCAGTTTCTGCCTCCAGGTTCCGGGTTTGAGCCCTGATTTCTGGACACCGAAGTGTAAGATGTAAAGACAAAGAGACAAGCAAACAAATGTCTCTCCCTTCTATGTCACTTTTGGTCATGTTTATCATGGAAACAAACCAAACTAGGACCCACTAATAATCCATCAAATCTCTATGATGCACCCCGATCAGTCATGGTACAGAACACACACATTCTCACTTCCTGCAAAACCTTATTGTGCATAAGAGAAAGCACGATACCCAAGAGAGGGGCACAAAGAACGTGTATCTGTGACAAAAATGTGCAAAGTTTTATCCCACCCATTATGAAAATCCAACGTTTTCTTCAGGCACTATGAAGACTGAAGCCAGGAGTTGCGGATTCTTGTGGTTTTGTTTTTGCTTGAATATATGTATGGGATGTTCATGTATGTATGTATGTGTGCTGTGCATGCATATGTATATGCATGTTCATATGTGTGTTCCGTTCTGTGGTGTATGTGTGTGTGTGTATGTGCACGCATGTGCATATGACACCACCAGGAATCTTCATGAGTCACCCTCCACCTTGCACACTGAGGCAGTATATCTCACTGAAACCCAAGGTTCATTAGTACAGGTCATGTAAGTAGCAACCTTGCTCAAGGGATGCCCTTCTAATCTTCCTGGCCTCGAGTGTGGAATCACAGGTGGGAGGTGAGGAACCACCGCCTATGACGCTTTCATGGAAGGTACCCATATTCTTTTCTTCAAGGCTACTTTTCAGATGTCACTGTGGACACAATACCTGTCAATGCTTTCCATCCCTTTCTGTAGTAAACGCCAAAGATGATGGCAGCAACTAATACCACAGAGACGAAGAGGAGCAGAATGACGAGACTGGGCAAGTAAATTTGGGCTTCTGTGGTGGAAGAAAACACAGTGTTAAAGATCATTTCATTTTACCAAGTTAAAATTTAAAAAGTCCTTTAAATCCAACCCAAGAATCACGGATGTGGGTGTCTAGGTAGCCAGAAGTGGAGAGCTCCCAGTCGCAAATTCAGAGAGTTCTCAGCTGTTAGAGGACACACTCCACAGTGTAAGGCACCCTGCTCAGGGGTCTCCCCTCCAGGAGAGGGTGGCCCAGGCCCATTGTCCTATCTCTGCTTGAGAATGAGTTGAATGCCATTCATTACCCTGTCCTGGTTCATCTGGCTAAGTTTATCTTTCAACAGCTGCTGTTCTTATTCATGGCCTTATTCTGTGACCTGGTCTCTGCTTGTTGGGAAGGTCTTTCCCCAAGCCGCTTGCTTCTGGGGTGCAGCCCACCACACAGTCTCTCACCTAAAGAAGCCAAACAGAAGCCTCTGCTACCCAGCAGCTTTCTGTCAAGTTTTCAAAACCATTATTTAGATTAGCTTGATCTACGAATGCTCACAGATAATCACAGACAGATCTAACAAGTTGCCTTCTTTGGCTTGATCAAAATCTTCACATAGACACCCTCACTCTGACTATCACTCCTACCATGCTTTGTCATTTATGTTTATAGCTCACCCCTAACTCGGTGTGAAAAGAATATCAGCTGGAGAGATGGCTCAGAGGTTAAGAGCTCTCTGACTGCTCTTCCAGAGGTCCTGAGTCAATTCCCAGCAACCACCTGGTGGCTCATAGCCATCTAGAATAAGGTCTGGTGCCCTCTTCTGGCCAGCAGACATACATGGAGGCAGAATGTTGTATACATAATAAATAAAAACAAACAAATAAATCTTTTAAAAATGCTATCAAGTAGCTAGCATGTAGAAAGGCACTGGGTAAAATCTCCAGCAGACAAGAGAGAGGGAGGAATGTGAGAGGGAGAGAGAGAGAGACCTAGAGGGAAGGAGGAAGGAAGAGAGGAAAAGAGGGAGGGAAGGAGGGAGGGAGGGAGAAAGAAAGGAAGGAAAGAAGGAGGGAGGGAGGGAGGAAGGAAGGAAGGAAGGAAGAAGGAAGAAAGAAAGAAAGAAAGAAAGAAAGAAAGAAAGAAAGAAAGAAAGAAAGAAAGAAAGAAAGAAAGAAAAAGAAAGAAAAAATGAAATTGGGAGGGGAGGTGGAGAGAGGGCTCAGCACTTGAGACCTGGCTGCTCTTCCAGAAGACTCAGATTCAATACCCAGCACCTACATGGTGTTTTCTATGACTGTATGTAACTCCTGTTTTAGGGATCCAATTCCCTCTTTGGGCCTCCTAGGGCACTGAGTACACATGACATGCACAGGCATGAATGGAGATGAAACACTCATATACATAAAATAACAATTATTTTTAAAAAAAAAAAGGAGAAAGAAAAATCTCATACTGTTCAAAAGTAGACAAAACAAAATGATGGGACGGGAGATATAGCTCAGCAGTTAAAAGCACTGGCTGTTCTTCCAAAGGACCTGTGTTTGGTTCCTAGCAGCCCACAGCTATCTGAAGTCCAATGTCATAGGATCCAGAGGATCCTATGCCCTGTCCTCGCCTTCTGGAGCAATGCACGTATGTGGTGCACAAACAAGACATATTAACATATCCATACACATAAAACAAAAAGGAATAAGTCTTTTAAACAAAGAAGATGCTGACGAAAAATGAAAATAATACCAAGACAACCGAGGGCAGAATGAACTGAAGAGCACAATGAAATCCCTGTCACTAGCTTATCACTCTGGAGAGACCCCCATGCGACCATGGACCACCCCACAGGCTCTGTTCATCGTACCCTTGGGTGGTTTCCTCAGGGTCAGGGAAGAGCTGCAGACCGCGTCTGATTTATTCGTCCCTGGCTGTGCTTCTAGTCTTCCAAGGAGGGAACAGCTGTGAGGAAAGAGCAGGCAATGTTGTGGGTCGACACTTTAACTTTCAAAACCCCACAAAGGAAATGTTAGCCTGAGCTAGACTGGGAGCTCCTTCAGGAAGGGAAGCCATAACTTCCTCAGCCTTGCCAAGGGAGCAGAAGCCCTCAGAGGTGGACAGAGCACCCAGGGAATGCTGAGAACTACTGAGAACACAGCAGACAAGAGCAAAGAAGGAACTTATGTAAAGAGGACTTCAAATGCTGAAGATGAAAAATACAATCTTCTTAACATAAAACCTGGGTGTACTGCATTGGGAAACAGCGTTTTGTAAGAACCTGTTGAGCCACGTGCGTGCGGTGGTCTACACTGTAATCCTGCCGGTGGGGTGCTAGGGCGGCATAGTGAGAGCTGTCTGCAAACAGTAGCTGCTGGGAAGAGAAGCAGACACACCAGCAGCAGCTCGTGGTCATGTGAGCTTTGGAGAAATAAAGACATGTTTGGAACCGAAGGCTCATTGCACTTAGCGCTGGTGTTAAACAACAGGATGTGAAGCGCTCGGAGCCTGTCCCACGTAACTCACGTCCGGTGCTACGTTAGTCAGGGGTCCGTACCCCAAAGCCCAACAGTCCGATGTGACGCTATTAGAGCACCAATGTGAAACCTCAACTCGGAAATCAGACGTCATGAAGCTTTGCTCCATTCACACGATAACTTAGAGTGTGTGTTCGCCTTCAGGCTCTGTATGTAAGAAGTACGTGCGCAGTTCCGTACGTGAGCAGTTAGTTCCGTGTTTGGACCTGGCATCCTTCCCTGAAAGTTCTCAGGACACAGCTAAAAGAACCCAAAACTAATCTGAAATATTTCCCAAGGATTTGGGTAAGGGACGCTTGGTCTGTATACCACACGATCACTACACACTTATCCCGGCAGAAACCTCAGAGCTTCTTCCGGGGCGGCAATGGGACCTTAGTATGGTGGTGCTTTTCTCCAGTGAAGTCACAGCAATGGTAAGAAGCCGCAGAGACCCCATTTCAGTGGAGAAAAACATCACCAGGTAACTTCATTTGTGCAAAGCCCTGGGTTCATCCTCGGCAACAAAAATAACAAACAAACCAGGAATTAAAATATCTGTGAAAATGAAATATCAAGCTGATTCCAGATGGGGTAAAATCAAAAACACAGATGGACCTCTGTGATTTGGCTTGTAAGGAGCTTCAAGATGACTCAGGAAACCCAAAGCATTTACAGTGCACACAGACTTACACAGACAGATGAGTAAACTAGTGAGGGTGGGACAGCTGCGGACACAGCGCAGTCACAGAGGATAAGCCTAGCGTATCTGGAGGCCTTGCATTCCACCCCTGTCCCAGACAAAGAAGTCATGAACAATTTTCAATTAAACAAAGTTAGGTTAATGAAGGAGAAGCTGGAACTGGAGGTCACATAGTTCTGAATCTAAGAAGTGGCACAAAGCTCTGACACACGCTGGGTCCAAAGTGAGCTTCCAGGCCAGTTCCTTACTGTGCCACCGACAGACATTTTCCGAGAGGAAGCTAACCCGACACACTCGACCCGCCTTCCACCCAGAGCTGCTGAGGCGGATCGGGTCAGGCTTCTGCATGGTCACTTACTTAGTCCAGGGTCTGCATTTGTCCGTGGATGAGGAGACGTCTGAGAAGAAGCCCAGGAGGCAGGGTGTGCACACCGTGTCCATGTTGAGCCGCACTGTCAGACACACACACAAAAGCCAAGATAAAATCAAGGACAGTTAGAGATGGGCCAGGAATAACTGAAATGCCTGCCAACATTTGACTCCACCGCTTAATAAAGAAATGGGGGTTCACTGCCAAGCGGGGTGAGCAGCTCATTCCACCAGGCTACAGAGTGTGGCTGTCACCGCGTTCCCCTACCCCCAGAGGAACTCTGTAAGTCTCTTCCTCCTAAAATGCTGTGATTGCTCACGGCACAGAAATAACTAGAGACAATATGTGAGGCAAATGGATTGGACTGTGTCCCAAGAAAACGTAAATGTGAATGCTGAGACAGTGTGGGTCTTGCCTTCATCCTCAGAGCCGAAGCTGGTCTTGCCTAGGAAGCTTGATTCACCTCTCACATCCTCCTAAGCTAAATTGCCATCATAAGTCATGCCGCCAGCTTTCCGTGTCTATGGTTATTGCAATGGGCGCATGACGATTTGGTAGGCACAGATGGACAACACTGACTACAGCATGACACCAACTCCAGGCCACTGGCTAGTGCTGAGCCTTCAGATGGCTTTTGACATGAGTAGCATGTCTAGGGTTTATTTTCATGAATACAAATCAACAATAAGAAATTAAATTTCAAGCCAGGCGATGGTGGCGCACGCCTTTAATCCCAGCACTTGGGAGGCAGAGGCAGGCGGATCTCTGGGAGTACAAGGCCAGCCTGGTCTACAAGAGCAAGTTACAAAGCTACAGAGAAACCCTGTCTCGAAAAACCAAACAAAAAAAAAAAAGAAAGAAATTAAATTTCTTGGCACATGCCTGATAGGAAGTATATGTTTGTTTCTGTAATTTGGCAATAAATAAGATACATTGCCACACTGATATGGCAGTGTGACTCTCTAGGTAACAATCCTAATAATGCTGGGGCTATAGACTAACTAACATTAACCGAAACAACTTTATAAACGATGAACACAGGCTAGAGTGTGTTTCCCAGCACCCACGTCAGTCAGCGTAATGCCCGACTCTACGGATCCATCCCTGGCCTCCTCCAGCACTGGGATACACATACACAGACAGACACAGACACACACACACACATAGGCACAGAAACACACACACAGACACACAAAGACTCTCACAGACACATAGACACAGAGACACACAGACACACACAGACACACACATAGACACAGAGACACACAGACACACACAGACACACACATAGACACAGAGACACACACACAGACACACAAAGACTCTCACAGACACATAGACACAGACACACACAGACACACAGACACACACATAGACACAGACACACACACACACACACAAAGACTCTCACAGACACAGACACACATAGACACACAGACACACACTTAGACATAGAGACACACACAAAGACTCTCACAGACACAAACACAGACACAGACACACATAGACACAGAGACACACAAACACACACACACAGACAGACACACACACAGACAGAGAGAGACGGAGATAGAGTTTGTTTTTTAAAGATGAACAAAGGGTGGGTGAGATAAAGGCACCTGACCCCAGGTCTGATGATCTGAGTTTAGTTCCTGGAACCTACATGATGAAGGGAGAGAACCAACTCTCAAGAGGTGTTGTCTGACTTCCACAAATGGGCTACGGTGTATACACATACAGACACACACCAAATAAAGTTACAAATTAAAAATAAAAAAGTAATGCAATCTAGAAGATTCTGAGGAGGGTTCAGGGACATTCCTTTCCATCCACCTTACTTTTGGTGGTTCTTGTTTAACTCTGGCCCACCAGTGATATCCTGAAGGCTCATTTTCCTTCTCTGTTTTACAAGCAGGCTTCTCATACTAATACAAGAGGTAACACTTCTATCTACTCTGAACCCAAACCTTGGCCTCACTATACTGAGCCAGGAGCTTCAATACTGGTGACCACAAAGCTGCCCTCACCGCTGCCAGGGCTGCTTTTCTTTCCCTGCTGACCCAGAGCAAATGTGTGGTCACTGGACGGTCTTTGTTTTGAATCCAAGTATACTACAAGTTCGGGCATGAGTGACTTTGTCTTCTCAGGTCTCTTGTAACCCAGGCAGGTCTCAGACTCACTGTGTAGCTAGGGATGATCTTGAACGTCTGATCTCCTGTGCCAGAGTGCTAGGACCAAGTGTGTACCACCACACCAGGCCCCATTCAGTACTGGGGATCAGTATAGGGCTCTGTGCATGCCAGATGAGCACTGTACAAACTGACCAGGACATCCCCAGCCTCAAGAGTGAGACTCAAGAGTGAGTCCACCCACCTGTCAAAATGGACCATTTCCAAGGGTTCAAGGCAGAGAGAACTGTTAGGTGGCAAACCCTGGACAAAGGTTAACTGCCGTGGCTGACGCTGGCCACTAGCAGTTTCTGGCAGCTTCCTCTTTCCTCTGTACCTACCTGACAGGTCCACCTGTCTGCAAAACCCCGCCTCCTACCCTGAACTCTTCATCTGGGAGCTGGGCTGCCCTTCCCCAGAGGATCTTCTCTGTATAATCCAGAGATTTTGGCTACACTGGTTCTTTTTACCCTTTTACCCTACTGGCCTCTAAGTCTCCTGGCTCTAGGTCGCTTCGCCCCTTTTCTCACATGGCACAGCTTGGTCATGATCACTGTGAACTCTCTCAGATAGCTGTCCCTGCCTGGCTACATGCTCTCTCTCCTCCACTGTTCATAGGAATAGTTATGTCCTCCTTTTCATTCAAGAATGTCTTCCAGAAATCAGAAAGGCAGTGGGCAGCACCCTTGTTCACAGAGGCTGCAAAGTTTGCAGGGATCTGACTGTGGTGGGGACAGCTGGCCTCGCTGCTCACAACCTGCCGCTGACTTTTCCTGAGAGCATGTGTGGATGAGTCAGGGCGCTGATGCAGAGGCCTACCGTGCTGGCTAGATACATTCTTCCGTGTGGCTTCAAATGAATAATATTTTAGTTTCCCGGCCCTGTCCAAATGCGCTGGCTTTAAAACCATGTCTGTAAGTGAAAGACTGGGAAGCATACTCTGAAGACCTGCTTTGGGCCACTTCCTAGAATCTGGGCACTAGAAGGGCTGCCTCTCAGAAGCACTTTCGCAAGACCGGAGGATTTCTGCTTCTTTGCTTTCAGCAAAGCTGAAGGGCACAATGGAGTTCTCAGATGGCAGAGTATTAACAATACCCACAACTCCACATCACTTTGTGAGCAAGGATGTCACCCAGGCGCTGAAGCTGTAGGTGTTCCTCAGCAGCGATTCTAACAACTCCGAAAGGAACTAGAGAGAACTCTGCTAACGCGCACCACTGGTGGGCCACTCAGCCCAAATATAAACATGGGGCAATCCTACACTCAAGGTTCAAAAGCTGTGAACTCTTAAGATTTTAAAAATCAAATGAACATGTGGCCAGTTATACGGTAATGAGCATGGTGACAGCTCAATCCAGAAAAGACTCTCATTTTTACTCTGTGAACGCAAGTCAATTCAAGTTGTTTTTTAAATGAATTTCAGAGTAGTCCTTACTCTTTCTTATTTGAAGGGCTAGAGGAGGTGATTGCGAAAGACCTTCCCAACAAAGAGGAGGAGGCAATTCAGCCTGGAAAGAGGATGGGTGCACACAATCAGAGGGAAGAGCATGGCTGTTCCAACAGTCAGCTTAAGTAGTGCTCTGGAGAGAAGGGCTTTCACAGTCCAGTGACCGGCTGGAACTTTGCCCAGGCTAGCTGGCCAGCCTGCTCTAGGACTTCGCATTTCCTGGCTTCCTTTCTTGCTGGAGCTGGGATCAGCTTTCAGTGTGGGTTCTTGTATCGGGCTTAGGTCTGCACACTGGTGAAGCATTCTCTGTATAGACAGCAATGTCTCCCCAGCCCTCCATGGCCTGCTCTCAATGTGTTATTGCAGCTATAATCTCCCAACAGCCAGTCTTTAGGAACTCTTTACATTGGAAATCAATATTTGTAGATGTCAGTTTCCAACATGTCCCGAGGTGTGCACCTTCTTCTAAAATGATGCATGCTGTTTACTGCCTTGGCGAATCCCTGCACTATACTGTCTGGGCCTCGGTTTTCACAAACTGAGGCACAAAGCTGAGTGAGGGGCGAGGGAATTCGGGATGACTGTCCATGTGCTGTTGGAAGCTGGACTAAACTGGGTTTTTAGTCCATGCTAAGGTTCCTCAGAGCCAAGCGGGCTGCCTGGAGCACCCTTGACACAGTGTGACAAATCCCCGGAAGTCCTCTGGGCAGGGACGTAACAGCAGGGCTCTGTTGGAGAGTACACACACACACACACACACACACACACACACACACACACAAAACCGTGCCGTACAGGGATGCTCGGCCCCAAAGCCAGGCGCACACTCCATGTTACGGCGGCAGCACTCGCAGTCTGGGCTCCAGTGGTAGCCAGCTGTGCAGGCACAGCGCCGTGGGGCCGTGTGATTGCCAGGGTCCACCGCCACCAGGGCCTTGCCTGTGGGAGACAAGAGAAGATCAGTGACCAGCAAGAAGCAGGAGACACAGATGCACTGTCCACCGGGTGCACTGTCCCCACCCAGCTGCATGTGGCAGCCAACAGGGTGACTCATTGGGTTTGAGGAACTCCGGAGTCCTTCCCGCACTTCCTTGTCGGTAGGAAACCATCCAACATACCCTGTTCTAGAGAGCTGTGTGGGCTCTCTAAACAGCTTTGTGTTAGGAGGTTTAATAATTTGTGGAATTGCACAGCAGTGCACAGCTGCTAGTTTTTGTTGTTTGGGGGGGAGGGTTGTTTGTTTGTTTTATTTTTCTTGTAAATTCAGATTTCAAACACAATTTAGACAGACCTAGTGAAGTTTCTGGGGATGTGAGTACATCCAGGGGTCCTGAAGGGCTCTGGGGTGCTCAGTCAAGACAACAAAGCACAGAAACAGGCACAGTCTGTCTGACCTACGAACCAGGGTCTGTCTGTCTGTCTCTCTCTCTCTCTCTCTCACACACACACACACACACACACACACACACCATACCTCTTCCCAATAAACAGAAAGGGCTTGACTTCTTACTCTATTTTCCCGGCTTCTCAGTTTTCTGGAGTATGGGTGTATGGGAACTGAGTGCCCAATACATAATCATTCTTATTGTTCAGATTCACATGAGTGTCCTTGTTCACTACAATTCCTATTGACACTTGCAGGGTATTTTCATCACCCTGGACATGGGCTGAACCACACAAAGTGTGGAGTCACTCTTCGCTCTCCACGAGGACCTCAGCATTCTGGTCTGACTTTCCTACAGAGTGATTTCTTCTCTCGCCCCCCCCCCTCACCTTCCAGGATAATACTGGGAGTCAAAACCAAACCCCATTGCTCCATTAAGGCATTCTACCGCTGAGCTAGGTTCGCAGCTTAAATGAGCATCCTGCTGCAGTCTAGCCAAAGCACTTTTCTCATCTTTGGGCTTTTATCTGCCGATGACCTTGTTTTAAATGTTTCAAGAAGGCAGTGATGTGTCCTGCCCAGAAAACATGTGTGGTATAAAGCTCTGTGAGTCTGAGTTGTGTGCTGACTCACAAGACCTACCTAGTAAACAGTGAAACGCACATGACAAGGGGTTTGTGCGTGGGACAAAGGCCTCTGATGAGAGGGGCTCATAGGAAGCTAGTCCTGAATTCTCCTAGGAGCTACGAGTGATTCAGGACTCATGAACTCAACGGTTGGGGTGACTTCATGGAATGCAGCTACTGCGGATAAGGTCACTGAATTGTACAGGTGTGCACACACGTGACATGAAGTCAAAGCATCATTTAGACTGCCCAGGTGGCTGTCATGATGGCTCACTGGCTAAGAGCCCGTACTGTCCTTGCAGAGCGCCTGAGTTCTAGGTACCCACATCCTGAAGCTCACGCCTGGCTCTAACTCAAGCTCTAGGGGACTGGACCTTCTTTGGCCTCCTTGGGCACATGTTGCCATGTACAGACCATCCCACACATACACATAATTAAAAACAATGACTCTTTAAAAGGAAACAAACAAAAAACAGGCAAAAAGCTTCTCTGTAAAGGCTGAAAGGCCCCATCTCATCAGGATTTTCTTTATGGCTTCTGCACCTTAACTTCCAAAGGGAAAGAGACAGGGAAAATCAAACTTGTGTCTTCCTTCACTGTCTCAAATTACAATTAAGAAGGGACATTATTAGTTTTATGCTTCTTAGACCCAAGAATGAGCCCCATTTGCCCTGGTACCCACTGACCAAACCCACGTAGCACAAACGGCAATTGAGTAGAAACAAATACATAGTACATATGCGCAGACAGGGGGCATGCGCAGACAGGGGGCATGCGCAGACAGGGGGCATGCGCAGACAGGGGGCATGCGCAGACAGGGGGCATGCGCAGACAGGGGGCACATGCCCCGCTGCTTTTCTGCGCAAGTGTGAGTGAGTGGAGGTGGCAGCAGTTCCGGAACAATCGGATGTGTTCAGTGTTCAGCTCTAATTAATTTTGGCGGTAGACAGAATGAATCCTTATTTCCAACAGACAGCAATGACTCAAGGTCATTAAAGAAAATAAAAATACTTGATCAGATGCTTGTGCCCAGTGGAGTTTCCACATTACTTTCTCCAGGCTGAAATCCGCCAGCTGTCTCAACACGTTAGAAGAATGATAGTGTTCAGAAATGCGTATTTCCTAGCTGCGCTCTAAGGGTCATATCCTACAGAGATTAAGTCAACAATAATGGGTCTCCCTTAGCACTGGGGACAGAGAGATGGCTCAGAGGTTAAGACCACTTGCAAAAGAGCTCAGTTCAGTTCTCACTGCCCTTGTCAGAGGGATCTGTTGCCTCTGACAAGGCAGATCTGATCCTCTTGGATGCCCTGTGGGGTGTGTGTGTGTGTCTGTGTGTGTGTGTGCTGATGACAGCCTGGGATCACTTCATAGTGGTATGATATTTGACCACCAATTAAAACCAGTGTCTGCAACAAACTGCAGCACCTCAGACACAATGGCATGCATGAATTCATCGTGTTAATGCAAATGCTTGGGAGGAAGCTGAACAATCCAGCCAGGGTCCAGAAAGCCACAAGCACTTGGTATGCCTTTCCTGTATGTGCTATGCTTCAGGGAAACAAAGAAGTGACAGAAGGGAGCCAGGCATGGTGGCACATGCCTTTATTCCCAGCACTAGGGAGGCAGAGGGGCAGAGGGTAGAGGCAGGAAGGTGGAGGCCAGGCTGCATAGGAAGCCTCTATTTCTAAAAGAATCAAGAGTTAGAGATGTTGCTCAGTCGTAAATCATCTGGCTGGCATGTGTAGGCCTTGGAATTGATCCCTAGAACCCAACTCATACTTATCATCGTGAATATTACAAAAATAAAATCCCACTCTCATTCATCTGCACTATACAAGGATGAAGGGGTTTTCCAAGATCCTCGCCAAAATAGACCAGGATTCTCTCAGCTTCCTAAATTTAATGTGCAATACAAGAAATACTGAGGAAAGAATATGACCAATGACACCCAGGGGGTGCAATCATTAAATACAAACCAGAAGCTGTGCTAGAGTAACATGGTGGATGTGTTAGTATTCCCAATAGAAAATAGAAAGAAGACAGATAAGAACCTCGTAGGGAATTCATGAGACATATTTATATTTTGATTCCTAAACATAAGTTATGGTTTTTAAATGGAGCTGAACACTGAGATGTAGTGAGTTACAGGACAACCTGAGCCACAGAGTAAGATCCTGCCTCAAAACTTTTTATTTAAAATATATTTATCCAGCTCCCCTTCCCAAAATTATGCCAGCCTGGTGAAACAATAAACTTTAACAATAAAAACTTTTTAACAATAAAAAATTTAGGAAAAGGCTTATGAGTCAGGTCAGTTTGAGGCCCACTTCTCGTCTGTTTATCCTAGAGGAGTTACTCTCAGGTTTCAGTTTCTCTATCTTTAAAATGGGACAGGTACGGGACTAATGACACAGGCACCAAACACTGGGGCAACGTTTTGTCAATGGTAAGATGTGTCCGCAATTAAAGTGCAATGCCTATTCTGGAGCAGAAAGGTGGAAATGTTTAACCTGCAGCGCTGGACACACTAAGCCATGAGCAGAACCTTTTCCTACAACGATAAAGGAAAAGCAGCAGGCTTATTTATCATGTGTCTACAGAAGAGATTTAAGGAGCATGAGGTGGATGGTGCACCTCCACGCCCCCGGCGATGTGTGTCAGTGTGACAGACCCACCTGCATCACAGACTTTATGCAGCAAGCACTTATCTTCTTCATTCCAGGTGTCCAGGTACTCATCTGGACCACAGGGCAGACACACACTATCGGAGGTAGGCGTACATTTAGAAGACAGGTATCTTCCTTGAATGGAGAAGATGATGTGTCAATCAAAACCAAAACAATGACAATACATGCTGATCAAAACTAAACAAGCTGGATATGGCGGTGCATGCCTTTAATTCCAGCTGGTCTTTGAAATCCCGGCTTGCCTGGTCTAAGGAGCAAGTTCCAGGGCAGCTAGGGCTACACAGAGAAACCCTATCTTAAAAAACTAACCAACCCAATAAACAAACAAACAATTACAGACAGACAGATAAAAAGAAATAAAGAAAGAAGGAAGGAAAGAGGAAGAAAGAAGAAAGAGAGAGGGAGGGAAAAAGAAGGGAAGGGAAGGGAAGAGAAGGGAAGGGAAGGGAAGGGAAGGAAAACCTAAATAAGAAGAACAGCGCTGAGTGTGCATGAGGATCTGGGTTAAATCCCCAGCGCTGCATGGAGATGTAAATGGCAATCTGCAGATGTGCTTAGAGAGCCACTGCTCCAGGAGCCTTCTATGACAGGGTAATATGTGAGGAAAGAGAACTGCAGGCACTGAGCACAGCACCTGGGCTCCTCAGGCCTCTGCTAGTCGAAATATCCCGCCCCAGATTCTCTTTATGTACTGTTGCTCCCTCTGAGGTTTGCTGTGACTACAGATGTCTCTTAGTTTGTCTAAATAAGCAACCAACCAACCAACAACCATCTTTTCACTGCCAAACTCTGCTGACTGAGAAATCGAACTCAGAAATTGCACTGTGTCCTGTAGCCCTTGAGGGGTTTGCTGGAATGGACTAAGGGAAGAACTGGGCTGAGGAAGTGTATTGGTCTTCCCCTCCCATCCTCAAGCTCTCCTCTACCGTCACCATGGCTACATGCCTACATGTGTTCTATATGCACTATTTGCTAGCAGCTAGTTTACGTTGACCAAGAGTCTTCCACTGACACATGTGTGCATGCTACACACACACACACATGTACTTGATCAAAGTATTGGCTCTGAAGCCGGTGGTGGTGATGTACACCTCTAATTCCAGCACTTGGGGGAGGGGCAGAGGCAGGTGGATCTCTGTGAGTTCAAGGCCAGCCTGGTCTACAGGATCTAGCTCCAGGACAGGCTCCAAAGCTACAGAGAAATTCTGTCTTGAAAAACAAAACCAAAAGTCTGTGTCCTCTATACTCAAGAGCTATTTGCAACCAAAACACCCAGAAAGACCTCAGTTATAAAGTAACCCAGCTTCTGCTACCCTCTTCAAGAACAAGAGAAAGCAAGGACCTAAGAGGTTGGTACTCTACAGGGGTACACAAACACTGGCCATACTTGTGGAAGGTGGTGGATGGCAGCCTTTGTGTTCTTTGACTGCTATATGGGAGAAGATCTGTCCAGGGTTAAGCAAGTCCAGTTAGTTATTCCGGAATAAGACTGCTGTACACACGTTTTCAGAGGTCAGCTACACTTCATGCTTTACTAGGATTTGATTTCAGGAAACTCTGCCATCTCAGGACCAATAAAGGATCAGTTTCTGAAACTGCCCTAGATTCATAAGTGATGCTATCTATTGAGGGGAAGCATTTTGTCTTCTGGGTGGCAAACATTACCTACCACTATCATGAAAGGTCTATAAATTTCCTCTTTCATCTCTTAGGACAGAAACAAAAGGAAAGCTAGAAACCTTGAGGTACCTGGTTCGCATTTGCTGCAACACTGTCCAAGGTGCTCATAATGCCTCTCTCGGGTGCATGGAGGAGCCACCAGGAGGGTCACCTGAAAAGAAAAGTGACATCAGGAAGACACTGTGCACAAATTATTCCTGGACAGCACAAACAGTGACGGGCAGGGCTGGAGAGATGGCTCAGTGGCTAGGGCTTTGCTAGCCAAGGCTGATAACACATGGAAAAGGAGAGAATCCGCTCCCAAAGTCTGACCTCTGACCACATGAGACCACAAACACACTAAACAAGTAAATAGAGAGGAAAATAAATTGTCAAGTTGTTTTTCTGCAAAGCATACGAAAACACCGTAAAGGGCTTTCAACATTTTCCCTTCCTAGGTTAGTCCATTCCCTTAGGATACACAAACCCAACCTTTCAGCACAGGGCTCTTCCCGCTTAGACAGTTAAAACATTTCCGTGACATAGAGAACTAGGGTGAATTAAAGGAAATTTCTGTGCCTGCAGAGAAGGTGAAAACATCTTCATAAGAGACACTTAAGAAGTTGGCTCCAAGCCCTCACACTTCATCATCCTCCCTGCAGCCAGTCCCTGCCCCCAGCTCTGGCAGACTCCATAGGTCCAGGTATAGTCCACCCATCAGAAGAACAGCACTCTCTGGGCTCCATATTCTGGTCTACAACTTTTGAGGAGGACTTCGGCTTTATCAGACGGCAGGCTAAATGTAGGAACCCAAAGCCCCCCCCAAACCTCAGTATAGACACCATACTGAACCTAAAGACTTGTCAGTCACCACTTAGGCCAAAAGACCAGAGAAGAAAATGAAAACATTGGAAGAAAACACTCATCCAACAAGGACAAAAACAGAAATCAACACCTAGACCTATTCCAAATCCAGATGCCTAAACACC